ATTGTCTGAGGTGATTCCATGGATTTAAAGTTGGATTCAGATGTCAATCAGTCTTTTTCCTTTATATATCAACCAACAGATTGAAATTGCTTTAAAAGCGAGAGTAAACCAACGTCCAAGGTACGTCATTGTTCGTTGTGAGTCTTTGGTGAGAGCTGTATGCTAGCCAAAATTGGTAGACAGCAATTTACGCCAGTGTTTACTTCCCAGATCTTGGTCATGAGAAAAAACAAGAACAAAGACTAACTCAACAACCAATCACAGCAGACTTTGAAGATAAGATTCGCAGACATATGGTCTGACCTTCGAAGAAATAGCCACAAAGAAATGAGAGAATAACCTTTAGCAAGAAAACAACCAATCAGAAGACGCTATTTCTCGGCTAACGAAAAATAATGTACATAAAAATCTATAAATATCTGTTGATTTTCTCAATAGACGATCTGTTGCCTGGCCCTCGTCCTCTGTCGTTACAAGTCTGTATGCTTGTTCGGTTAGCTGATCGTAACGACAGTTAACCTGTTGTGTTAGAAGATTGCCTATATAGTGAAGGTGTATTGAACTAACTCTGACTCCTATGTCTATCAGGAATAGTGTGCACGTAGCTTTTTCCCTTACACAGAAAAGGCGACTTGAGTGATTGCCAGTAACATATGTCGCTATCACTGATTGGCTAGGGAGTTTCCCTGAGCCAAGTCACTACAACTGAAAATGCACTGTTTCACACACTGACTAGCTCGATTTCTGAACTTTCCATGATACCACAAAATATTTCGAGTATTAGAAGGCGTCCTGGTCCACTGTCTTGAGAAAGACCACCGATGTTGCTTCAACATCGACTGTAGTTTACTACATTATTCTCGTAGGTTGTACATTTCAACTTCTAACTTTTCCATCTTGACTAGTAATGCAGAAAGAGCCAATAGTACAAGCGCGTCCCTAGACATGGCCAAAACTGGTAACTCACCACGTGTCGATGCATTGCAGACACTGGGGTCAGAACATACGTCTAGTATGCTATTTACAATTTCACTTAATTCATCTAGATCGGTGGATTTATAGGTGATAGTTGGAATTTGTTGGATGTTTCGCAGTAGCTGTTGCAACCACATCTGCAGTAAGACCACTTCGTCAACCTTATGTAAATTAATCAGTTGACGCATGTGCCTGAGGAGCTGGGATGGTGTCTTTGAACCTAAAAGAGGCTATGAGCAGTTGACGAATCCTTATTTCGTCAAATACACTTTTTCTGTGATTCGGAACTGTTTTAAGTAGATTATACTGTTGATCTTCAGGGGCACTGTCATTTGGGTACCTCTGCAACAATGTAGCTAAAACGTTTCCATATTTAGCAGTCTGAGATTTGATACCTTTTGCAGCAAATAAGGGCTCAATGTTGGCGAATCAAATCTGAGGCTCAGTGGAACCAAAATGGGGTAAACGCAGATCAACAATTGAGTTTATTCCTGAATGGTGTGCCTCGTCATCAATAGTTTCCGATGAAGCAAGTGAGCTATAAATCAAGAATAATATTCGACGTCGTACACAGCGAAGTTATATGGTAGAATTGACTACAAGCTTTATTTTTTCCCAAGTATTTGTTATCCATCCTACATGTACTTGATTTATTTGTTAATGGGAAAATTTTGTTTACTATACTTGTTGATACTTTTTGAATGACTCATGATTGGACAAATTTTTAAAAACAAGTGATGTTCCTTTTTTATATATAAACCTATGCTATGCTAATTACGATTAATTTCCCTGAAGAAGTTCGGACCAGATTGCCGAACGAAACATTGGAATTACTCATTTCAATCTCGCTGAGACTTTACAAATATAATTTTTTACAAATGGGAAGACAATATCCCTATATTTCTTAATGCGCACCATTGAATGACTGGATCACAGATTTTCCCCACAAACTAAGGTCAAAAAAGTCAGAAACCATGTAAATTCACCACAAACCAAATTTATGTAATTTAAATAATACTTAAGTATTATCACATGGATAATTATCCATGCCTGTACAGTTAGTGTGTTCTTGTGGTGAGAGCTGTCTACTAGCCAAATTGGTAGACAGTAATTTACGTCAATATTTATGTACCCAAGATTTGTCGTGAGAAAATGTGAACAAAGATTGATTCAAAACCAACCACAGCAGACTTTGCGTAGGCGGATGCAGTTAACATATAGAGGATTTGACATTCAAGAAACAGTCACAAATAGATGAAAGATTAACTTTACGTGAGAAACAACCAATCGGAAGACTGTGTTTGTTTACTTAAATATCCGTAGTAATGTACATGCAAATATATAAATATGCGTTGATTTCCTTAATAAATGATCTGTTGCCTGACTCTTTCCTTCTGTCGTTACATTCTTACATAGATAGGAATGAGTATATATTATACTGTTACGATGACCCAAGCTTACTATAATGCTGAATTAAATCTCGCTAATTCTGAACTAACTCTAACATTCTATAGTGAGTAAATTCTAAATCTGTTCTGAAATGGTTTAATTATCTGGACAGACTAGAACTCAGTGCTGGTTTTCAGCATGACTGGCACTAATGCAGCATCCTGTTCTTTTTCCAGGCATTTTCAGGAGTCGATTAGAGCCCACTGGGTCTGCTTATCAGCGTTGTTTCAGCCCTCACAGCACATATTCAGCACTGACTAGCATTACTTCAAAACGAAAAGACTACTACTAATCATCATTATCTGTATCCTATGCTGATGCAATTCATTTAGTTTGCAAAAAGAAATCTGTTTTTTATGACTGGGAGAATTTTATATTTGGCATTTATAGTACAATACCACTGCATACCCGTCAAGTGAGGTCCACTGGTAGTATCCTGTCAATAAGCAAAATATAAGATGAGTTGAGGGAAAATTCTGTTCACGACACTTTCAGCATTTGCATATAGAAAGGTGTACTTACATAAATGCCACTGTTAGCTCTCTTGCTTTCTTTTTCATTCGCCTACAAATAAAAATCAATGTTGGGAATACTACATGTTGATTAAACCATGACCTATAAAAAGTAAGCGGGCGCTTCGCAATATTACATGAATTACTTTCTTCAGATTACTCCTTTGGGCACGATCTTTCAAATTATGAAAGTATGATTTCGTGGCCTTATTCATTATTTCACCAACCTGTCTCGACGACAAGAGTTGACCGAAGAACTGCGCCATAATTACAGCTACAGAAATAAGCACTTCATTAATGAACCTTACATCTCATTGTTTTATAAAAGGCATAGGGCTCAAAGCTCTCCAGATTTACCGCTAGTACTAATAATGCTTAACATTTTCGTACACAAGTTGATGATTTCTACTGAAACATCTTTAAATGGATAATTATTTTTAAGTGCGTCGGTGGCACAGTGGTTAGGACTCTCGCCGACCATGCACATGGTCCGCGGTTCGATCCCCTGCCGGCGCACACCAGATATCTATGGTCGGCCTGTAAATTTGGGCTACCGATATCCATGCTGAAAATTCCATACTTGTACTGAAAATACGGTGTGGAATGAAGCTGTAATCAAAATAAAAATAAAGAATAAAAATAAAACTTACCCAGTAATTTCTTAAAATTCATGGAATAATCGACAGCTTCGTTAAACGCCAATCTAAAGGAAGTATACTAAATATAACAATTATTCCTACTGGTTAGATACAGTTGTGGGAGTCAATAGTAAAGTAAAATTATAAGACAGACAAAACAATTAACTAAATTTGGAGACTTAATAGAGAGTTCAATTCAGTAAGTGGAAATAAAAATTAAGTTCAATGCTAAGAAACAGATAAAAAACAAATATGGTTACCAGGTTAGTGACGCTCTCTTTCTGTATACAAGGGTTGGGTCGAAGTCCTTTGATGATGGCAATGGCTTTGGAGAACCAAAGTAACCATTGTTTCATTTGTACAATGATTATTTTGAAGACCTTACTAATTTTCAATGAATGTGCCGTGTCACTTGGGTGTAGTCTGGCAACTGCATTTTAGAACACTCTGCTGCCTTTCTTTATCCGGAGACTTAAGGATATGCTCATAAAACCCTAGTAGATATCGTCGTCTCAATTGTTCATAAGAACGTGCTGCCACATGTGAGAATGTGAACTGGTAAATTCCACTAACGTGTGGAGAAAGATACTTATCTATATAATGAAAAAACATGGACACTGTTGTAGAATATAATCCCCTTGTGGATAAAAATTTTATTTTGACAAAGTCATACAGTGTTATAGAGTAATATTTACGGATGACCAGGTTTCGAGCACAACTTATCCCTATTGATAATCATATAAAGGTACTCACACGACTTTCTTGCTTCATTTATATACATGAGTAAAAACTGTTTAGACATTTGAACACAATGAATATAAGACTTGCATAAAACAGAATGGAAGATTAAGTACATTCGGAAATAATATTAGTGTTTTCAATAAAATATAGTAGTACGAGTGTTGTTAGTCAGTAAGATGGGAAATAAGATGTTTTTATAGTAAAATAAATAACTTTTTGGAATGTTACAATGTGAATTCAAATACATTTTAACATTATTTTTTATCCTCTGATTTGACTGGTAATGATATTTTAGGAGGCTACAGGTATCGAACGTTCGCGAGTTGTACGGATTATACTAACGCAAGATCTTATACCAACAACCACTATAGTGTTCGTTCTTCGAGTACCAAATGGTAAAGCAAAAGACCAGATTTTGTCGTCCAAATACGATATATATTTTGGGACCAAATCGCGGGTAGGAATGAATGCTTAGCTAGCTAGTAATCGTGCACGCACGTGACACGACGAGAGCACCAAATGGCGGGGATGCTTGACCGTAAGCCTTCAGCTAAACAAGTCGACTTAAACAGTGATGGTCAGCATCCAATGTTGAGTGATGATTGCTGTGGTTAATAATTTTGGGGAATTATTTACCGCTACAGCTCACTCCCCCCCTAGTGGGGTTGTGAGGACCCTAAAACATGACCAGCCGGAAGTAAAAAAATCTCGATGGTTCCCTGATGGGTGAAAAAAATCTTCCAAGCGGCTTGATGGAGAGCCTGCTGGTCTGTCTGCCTATGCTAATAGGGTGTCTGTACATAGCTTCCTCAGTGTTGTTCGTTGGATCCCGTGCTTCGTTTGTTTCCTGTCCAGTGCCCGTTGCACCTGGAAAAGAAAACAAGAATGCTGAGAACCTTGTCAAGAAAAATGTACCAAATAAGCGTTTTTTTTTACCAAAAAAAATGACATGCATCTACTATACAGTAAAATAATGTAAAGTTCAAAATATCGGGAAAAAATATATACATCTTATATAATTTTATGTACGGTTATAGGAAAAATATCATTTACTTGTGTTAAATGACGCAACATAAAAAAAAATTGATGTGTCACTCAGTTATGTGAGATAGGTGTGAAGGTATTCTGGGAATCTAACGTGACGTCCAGAACGCGTTTTTTTAGAAAGATCGACCGAAGGTTCAGTGGCTTTCGCCGTGCTAGGGAGTTCTTCGAAGACTGAAGTAGATTCAATTACTTGTGAATTATCGGGTACGTTAAGCTCCAGGCTAATAGGATTACCTTCCAAGTAAGCCGGTTTCAGACGGTCGATACTGACGGTGTCTTCGCGGCCTTTTTTGTCTAAAACGAAGAATTTATCAGTACGTTTAATCACTTTATATGGTCCGTCATATGGGGGTTCTAGAGGACGACGTACCGAGTCGCGACGAACAAATACGTGTGAAGAAGTTTTTAAACAAGGGTGAACAAAAACATCAATGGACTGTGGTCGGAGGGGAGCAGGTTTAACTGAACGCATTGCGTTTGTAAGCCTGCTGACGTATGAGGAGTGATCTACCACTGGTGGGAAGCTCGAGGGAGAAACAAACTCACCTGGCAGTCGTAGTGTTGTGCCATATACTAGCTCAGAGGTAGTACAACCAGCATCGGTTTTTAAGGCGTTTCGTATCCCTAGGAGAACTAACGGAAGGGATTCAGTCCAGTGGGTGTTATTTGCAGCTGATAAACCAGCTTTCAACTGTCTGTGCAGACGTTCTACCATACCATTCGCTTGAGGATGGTAGGCTGTCGTTCGAAAACGCATGCAACCAAGGATTTTAGTCAAAGCGAAGAATAAACCGCTTTCGAATTGCCGCCCACGATCAGTTGTTATGGAAGATGGGCATCCAAAGTTTGCGATCCATCTCTCCACAAAGACGCGTGCGACAGTTTCAGCAGATATATCCTTGATGGGTACTGCTTCAGGCCATCGTGTGAAGCGATCGATGCAGGTTAACATATAGGTGTATCCATGAGATTCTGGAAGGGGGCCAACTAAATCTATATGGACGTGTTCGAAACGGGCATCAGGGATAAGAAAAGTGCCAAGGGGGCTTTTAGTGTGTCGTATTACCTTGCACTTTTGGCAAGCTAAACACGTCTGTGCCCATTCCCTTACTTCCTTGTTAATACCAGGCCAGCAAAACCTACTAGTTACGAGTTTGACAGTAGTTCGAATACCTGGATGGGATAAGCCATGCAACGTATTGAAGACGTTACGGCGATAACTTTTAGGCACGATGGGGCGAGGAGTACTAGTGGAAATGTCACACAGAATAGTATCCTTTCCTATACCTAAGGGTTTCTTGGCTAGTTGTAGAGTTGTTTTCGACAACTCACGCTGAAGCTCAATATCTTCTTTTTGAAGACGAGCCAGTTTTACAAGGTCTATGCCGTCGATTTCGGTGAAAGAACAAATACGTGACAAGGCATCTGCCACAGTGTTGTTCACTCCGGAAACATGGCGAATATCTGATGTAAACTGTGAAACGTAATCTAGTTGTCGCGACTCCCTGGGTGAATACTTATCTGAAGTTGAGTTCAGAGAGTACGTCAGAGGTTTGTGGTCAGTGAAAATGATGAATTCACGACCCTCAACTGAATGTCGAAAATGACGTAGAGCACAGTACATAGCTAGAAGTTCCCTTCCGAATGTGCTGTACTTCGTTTCAGCTACTTGAAGGCGCCTCGAGAAAAAGGCGAGTGGTTGCCACTCGTTGTTAACTAGTTGTTGCAGAACTGCGCCGATTGCAGTGTCTGATGCATCAACCGAGATACTCAACGGTGCCGTTGGATCCTGATACATAAGAAGGGTGACATCTGCAATAGCTTTCTTTACCTGAGTAAAAGCATGTCGAGCAGACGTGTCGAGTTCGATAGCCTTGTTGTTCCCTCGAAGGAGATCGGTTAATGGCTGAATTAGCGAAGCACAATTAGGAATAAAACGTCGGTAATAACTTACCAAGCCGTTAAAAGTGCGAAGGCATTTTACTGTCTTTGGCTCCGGAAAGTTCAGTATTGCTTCGACTTTGGTAGCCAGTGGGCGTATGCCCTGACAGTCAATAGTGTGACCCAGAAAATCGAGTGAGTCAACACCTATCTGACACTTCTGTATATTGATGGTAACACCATGTTGGCGTAACCTTTCAAATGCCAAGTCCAAGTGTCTAAGGTGAGTTTCCTTATCTGGACTGGCAATGAGGCAGTCGTCTAAGTATGCGTATACAAAGTCGAGACCGCGAAATACTTCGTTGATGAAGCGTTGGAATGTTTGTGCCGCATTCCGGAGGCCGAATGGCATACGTAGGAATTCAAAAAGTCCGAAAGGCGTGATGATAGCCGTTTTCGGAATATCTTCCGTTGCCATCGGGATTTGGTTATATGCTTTAACCAAGTCGATTTTGGAGAATATAGATGCTCCAGATAACGTTGCCGTCAAGTCGTGTATGTGAGGCAATGGGTAGCAATCAGGGGTAGTTTTGGCGTTGACTCGCCGGTAATCACCAGTGGGTCGCCAATCGTTACTATCTTTTTTTGGAACCATATGCAATGGGGATGCCCATGGACTATTCGATGGCCGAATGATGCCAAGGGTGAGCATATGATCGAATTCGTTTCTGGCAATTCTCAGTTTATCAGGGGCCAGTCGTCGTGCTTTAGATGTCACGGGCTGTCCTGAGGTTATGATGTGGTGCATAACATTGCTGGTTATACACGGGAGGTCGTTAGATGGGCAATTCAGTTCCGGATATTTATCAACAATCGGTTGAAAAGTTGGATCGAGGATTGCTTTCATCTTAACGATTGACAAGCTGGGGCCTACGTAAGTTATGCCTTTGATAGACAAACTAGTAGTGTTGTCAATTAATCGTTTACGGCGGACGTCTACGAGCAAATCATGATGATTAAGTAGGTCCGTGCCGATGATGGGCATTGTGACGTCAGCGATCAGAAAAATCCACCGAATAGGTTTGCGTAAACCTACGTTCAGATAGACGTATTTCCGACCATAGGTTGCAATTGGTTTTCCATTTGCAGCCTGTAGGTTGAGGTTAGGATCCTTCTGTCGATCTGCTGCTGTAGCAGGAAGGACGCTGACTTCGGCGCCTGTGTCGACTAGATATCTAGTCTGGCTAATTACATCATGGATGTAAAGTAAGCGGCTAGTGCCACCGGCGACGGTTGCCGCTAACGCGTGCCGGCGGGATAGTTTCCCACAGACTTGGAGGCTTTGCCGAAATCACAAGGTTTTCGACAACATTTCGCTTCCTTGCCATAGGTGTTGTGATACCAACACCAGTCAGGATTTTTGACAGAACGTGTGTTGGACTTAGATCGTCCACGTGCGCTTTGCCGTTGAGGGGATTTAGAACGACGATAGGAGGAATTGCTAGGCTTGTTTGACCTAAGCATCTGCTGGACGGAGTTGCATAACTCTATCATTGCAGAATCCTTTCTCGAAGTCTGTTCGGTAACAGAGTATACTTCAGTAACTGGCCGTTTCGTTATCTCTAGAATTCTATCTGCAGAGACAGCTAAATCATCTATGAGAACACCCTGAAGTGTCACAAGTACAGTCTGAACTGACTGTGGCAGTTTGGATAAAAATAGTTCTCTAAACAGTCCTTCATCGAACTGACTTTGGCCAATGATCTCTTTCATTCTTGCCAGCATGCTCACGGCTGACTGATCTCCTAACTCGATGTTACGAAATAACTCATCCAGACGTTGTCGATCTGTGAGAACGTTTCTCTTGAGGATGGATGCTTTGAGCAACTCGTACGAGTTACTTACCGACATCTGCAGAGTTACGCACCTGCTGAATTCCCGCGGTAGGGCGTGAATAACTGCAAGGAACTGTGAACGTTGATCAGTTATGCCATGTTCACAAAAATCAGACTCAGCAATCTGAAACCACGTTTCAGCATTATCTGGCCAAAATGGTACTAGCTGAATTGTTTTGGCGGTTGAGCGAATCTGAATAACCTTGGGGCTAGGATCACTCATGACGAAAAGTATGCCGATAACAATATAGTACAAGAATAAACACAAAAAGGAACGAACTCACCGGGTTTATCTGCGTGTGAATTGAAGATGTAGTTCGTGGTTGGGCTCACCAGTTTAGGTGAGGGCTGCAGGTATCGAACGTTCGCGAGTTGTACGGATTATACTAACGCAAGATCTTATACCAACAACCACTATAGTGTTCGTTCTTCGAGTACCAAATGGTAAAGCAAAAGACCAGATTTTGTCGTCCAAATACGATATATATTTTGGGACCAAATCGCGGGTAGGAATGAATGCTTAGCTAGCTAGTAATCGTGCACGCACGTGACACGACGAGAGCACCAAATGGCGGGGATGCTTGACCGTAAGCCTTCAGCTAAACAAGTCGACTTAAACAGTGATGGTCAGCATCCAATGTTGAGTGATGATTGCTGTGGTTAATAATTTTGGGGAATTATTTACCGCTACAATATCTTCCATATCTCTGGTGTTTGTGTTGAGTCCCTTCTATTGCATGTGTTGGGTGTAGACTCGATGAATGAAGTTTCGGTAATCAACCTCTCGCAGTTTCCATCTATCTATATTGCTTCTTAGAGTTTTAACTCTGTCCCACCCTATTGTGTGGTTGTGTATTAATGCATGCAGTGTGAATGCTCAGCTTTTTTTCTAAATTACTTATCTTCGTGGGATAAATCATCTTAACCCTAGCTAAATTCTTGTGTTATGAAAATCTCATTACTCCCAATCAACTAGTTTGACCTATGTAGTTAGCCTCACAGCCACTGTGAGATATTTTTTAAATTATGTTCTTTTGTTTGATTGGGTCTACCGGGTTCTTTAGCCTGCGAAGCGTGTTCGACCTAAGTGGGCTTGTAGGTTCGAATGACACCCTAATTCCTGCTTTATTAAGAATTCTACGTAAGATTTCGGATGTCCTCCTCTTATATGTTATAACAGTAGATGCCTTATATTCCCTCTTATTTATGTTATCATGACAATTTTCACCATTACTTTTATTTTGCTTTTGACCTCTTTTGATTTTCCTAATGAATTTTATAGGATAGTTATTTAAAATCTAGCATACCGTATTGTAAAATGGAATGAGTCTGGTGACACGAAATGTTCTTCCCAGTGCACCCTAAATTCTCTTCTCGATAATTCTTCCCCACTTGTTTTATGCTAGACAGATGAAAAGCAAATTCAACTATATTTAGGTTCAGATCAATGTGTTTCTTTTTCACTTCCATATTTTAAAATGAACTGTAGGTGAGTATCCATTCACAGCAAGATTCTTTCCGATAGCTGACAGATCGTAGATACGGTAGGAGCGAAAAAGAAATTCCAATGGAGCCATCATGAACAGAAAGGTGTGAGAGGGAGATAGGATGAAGTTAAACCCTAGAGATACCCGAATGTCGTGAACACAGCATACCAATGATCTTGGAGCACACTGACAGTCAGACGGCAAAGTAAAATTAGCTTCAGGTTAGGCAAAGATTAGGGTTAAGGTAGCCTAGTTAGGGAGGATTAGGACAGATTGACGTTAGGGTTGAGTTAGGGGAGAAAATTTACACTTTTGAATAAGGGGGGAATGAAAATATTTGCAGTCAGGATAATGCGATCTCATTCTACTTCGTGGATTCTTCGTTCAACTGTGCACGTCCTAAACAAAATCAATTATAAGTTACGAAATGATCTGGCTGAACATAATTCTTCAGATTGACTTGGAGTTATAGATAGAAGGCAAAAGCTGCTATGTAATAGGACTAGACATATCTATAGCCTTTGGCCACAGACCTCTTGGAGTGTCAGTTCTGCTAACCAGTTTTCTTCCCTACCATTTGTGTGTGTGTGTGCTATATGGAGATTGTGACAAAAGGTATGCTGCTGCTGTTGCACTTCACTATGCAAAGATCTCCAGGAGCGTGTACCTCCACTCATTCTTACAGGTGGTGCACCGCTTGAAGTTGTCGGTGAGTTTGTGTATTTGGTTAGTTGTGTGAGCGCTGACGTGTGAGATATGGGAGGCTTATGTTTGTTGGAAGGAGCAGATAATTTGCAGGTTCCGGATATGGGCAGTGGAAGTGGTCATTTCGCTGGGAGTGTTAATCATGAAATCACCAATTAATATAACCTGACCTCGTCTGTCGTGACTATCATATGATTATTAGTTACCTTAATGTCAACTCCCATCACTTCAGGTTGACCTTCGATGAGTATTGCGTTCTATCTTATTATATGTATGCACATTTTATTCACCAACCATTTTGCTCCACCCATCAGAAGTGTTCGCTACGTCTTAGTACTTCCCTGAAGGACAGTAGTCTTTGTATTTTTACCATTGTGTAATTGTATTATTTCATCTATATTTTAGAAACAAATAAAGTTTCCGTTAAGTCACCTGAGTTCTGACTATAGCAAGGCATCGTCAGTACTGATAGTGAGGACTAAAGTCTGTATAACCTCACCTAGTTAACTAGCTAGCTACTTTTCAAGTGGGTCCCAAGCCCGGGCAAATATGAAGGGTTGGGGGTGGGTCTAGCAACTCTACGCCACAAAAGCTATCAGACTGGTAAACAAACTTCAACGCACAAAAAACACATTGAAAATACAAAAAGCTCAAATAACAGTCTCAGTCTTCGCTCGAAATTGCGAGCTAAAATGATACAGCGGGCTGGTGAGTCTTCAGGAAGCTAGCCAGACAACCAGGAGATGTATCTTCTCTTTATCTCTCTTTCGATGGAACCAAGAATAAGAATATGGACGAGGAATGTCAACAATGTACGACGCCGAGGTGGACAAACAAATACAAAGATATGATATAAAAGTACTGGGTATCTGTGAGAGCAGATAGAATGGACGTGAACTGTCAAAACTGTCAACTGGAGAGTCAGTAATCTACTCTGGTCTGGTCATCTATGAGCACACTGTCGCAGTGAGTGGATATTATGATGTCACCAGTGGCAGCCAGAACCCTGATGCAGTGGGAACCAATTTCATCCTACAGGATTATGACAGCAAGATTCACCTTAAAAGGAAGGAAGGAAGGTGACAATTATCTAATGCTAAGCACAATGTTACAAACAACGCAGAACAAAAGGAAAAGGAAGATTTTGACAGACAACTACAAACAGTAACGGACAACATCCTGAATGTTGACATTTAAATCCTCATGGGCGATATGAATGCGAGCAGAACTGGGGTCCGATAATACAGGAGGAGAACCCATCATGAGTCAACAGGCTCTTATCTGGCGAAATGAATTGAGCACGGAGAATTATTCGTAGACTTCTACCCTTTTAGTAATCTGGTGATCGGAAGCAGAGTGTACAAACACAAGGATATACACAAAGCAACATGGAATTCGCCTGACGGATACACCACAAACCAGATAGATTTCATCTCAATGTCGCTCACGGAAAGGCAGACGTAGCCTGCTGGATACAAAGTTAAGAAGAGGAGCAGATGTGGGCTCTGACCATCATCTAGTTCTAGGAACCTTCAAGGTGAAGCTGAAATCCTTCAGAACAACTGGAGACAGGTCACTGTAATTCAAGTTCAACACTCAGAAATTGAAGGGGAAAAACAACCGATGCCTTTACTACAGATCTGATCAGAGTAAAGTCAAAGACACATTGTGTTATCACCGAGGAAACCTGAGTGGAAGAACATCGGAACTCTCTGAAGGTGATGTTTAAGGAAACGTGTACAACTGTTCTAGGAAGAAAGAAGAGAAAAGACAAGGAATGGCTCACAACGGATACCTGGAAGCCACTAGAAGGAGGATGGTGAGAGAGAAGATAACTCAATGCAAAGATGGACAACAGAAGGAGAAGCTGAGTTCACAACAATGTACACTGCACTGAATAAAGAAGTGGAGAATAGTGCCACGAGAGACAAAAGACAATTCTACGACACACTGATTGGCACCTGAAGCAGAACAGGCAGGCAGGCTGCAGGTAAAAGAGACCTAAGGGCATTATATCAGATAACCAGGCTGATCGCTATCCAGGAAGAGATCAACCCAGATAATGAAACCAACAGGAGTTCACTAAAGAATACGAAATAAGAGAGAAATAAAAGAGTATGAAATTATGTTGTTAATAACAAAGCAAGTCACAGGTTTCACGCTTAACATTGTCTCTGTCGCTTAGAACACGGGACAAGT